ATCGCTCTATATTGAGTCTGAGCTACCTGCTGATGTTTGAAATGGCGACTAAATTTCCGCCAAAGCTTGTGGCGGATTCCATCTAAAACTGACAGATATATATATATATATATATATGTTGCAAGCAGTCTGCAACAGCTGAAATCTTTCACGTAGACTCAATGCCTCTGCTTTTCCTTCTCAGATCAGCTTCTACAACGTTTGAGAATTTCTCCTCTCAGAGGTGGAGGGACAGAAGACACCAGGGTTCATCCAATCATCTCAAATAACCCCTGAGACACTAAAGCACTGACCAGGTCAAACATTATAACTGCAGCTCTTTCTTTCTTCCCTGGACTGTGCACCTGCTCATTACTTTGCATCTTAAAACAAAACCAGTGTTCTTAATGTGTTTTGGAGCAGCCAGCTTATTGAGGAAATTAACCAACAAATGGGATGCGGGGGCCTTTGGGAGTATTTTCTGAGCATGAGCATTAAGTTTGGTGCTTTCAGACCCTCTGTTTTATTCCTTACGACACATGAAGGCACATTGTACTGCACAGACAGGAGAGCTCTGCCTGACATCAAGTACTTTTAAATCAGTTATTGGCAAAGTGCTACCTGTTATTTGATTTAGTCTACAAACAAATTCATGTAAGTAAATGTGTCCATTAGTTCTCCAGTCAACTGTAGTTACTTTGAATATATCAAATTAAGGATTGTCTAGTCTGGTTCACACAACATTAATCCAAGTTTATACATCTCCTTGTTGAAAGAAATGTCATTAAGTAATATTAATATTACATTGTGGAAAAATAAAGATAGCTGGTAAAATAAGAGAAGAGATCAATTAAGGGGTGTTTTACACATTATTGGTTCGTGTTTTTATCTATGAATCTATTATTTCTCAGTTAAGTCATTCATGAACATTTTTTTTTTTTTTTTAATCATAAAAAATGTCTAGGGCTCAGGGAGACATCTTGAACCCAACAGTGTACAATTTATAATAATATAAAACAGAGAAAAGCAACAAATTGGCTAAATGACTTACTAATTGTTTCAGCGCTAAAATATTGACGGCAAAATGTTTGTTAGATTTAAAAGTGTATCAGGAACAGAGCAGTGATGACTCTTCCTCTGTTGGTTTGTCAAGCCGACAATTAGTCTAACGTCCGTCCCTCGTCCTGCAGGAGTGAGTCCGTGACTGCTGCCGCTGCGCTATCCTCAGGGAACACACAGATAAACTGTGCACACCTGCACGTGACATTCACGAGAGACTGTTCACTGGATAAGACGAGACAAAGATCTGACAGCTGCTGTAGTTCACCTGAGGGAGCGACTGGAAATTACACGAGTTGAAGGAGAAATGTTCTCATTTGTAGCGAGCTGATGATTTTGTTGCCACACGGCTCAGTAGCAATTAAAGACAACATTCAAATCCTGGTGTGGCTAATGAATGAATACGGGGAGGTCACTTGGTGTCACACTGGGTACCCCTTTAGCACCACTGTTCAACATGCAGGGTACACTACAGCATTGCTACACTTTTCAACCTGTCTCCTACGAATAACATTTCTATACAACTAAACTGCAACAACAAATGTGTTTTGTTAAGAAACATAAAAGCTGGCTGGGTTATGTTCAGAGGCATATTTCTTAAATGACTTTAGCACAACATTTATTAATGGCAGCAGAGCTTCCAGGAGATGGTTGGGGTAGATGGCGGGCAAACAAAGTGCACAACTGTCGCACCACATCCAGAGTCCTGTCCGTTCTTTGGTTAAGGTCAGGGAAAGATCGCCCTGTATACATCATCATTGGAAGTCTATCACGCTACCCTGCACATTGCAAAATGACACTACAGGTAGCCAGTGTGTTGAAGTGACACCAAGGAGTCGTAACCAAGCGTTCATGTGTGATGACTGGGGATGAGACTGCCCTCGTCTGACGCAACTGCCATGGAAACACGAGTCTCCCTCATCAGATCCGGGATTTCCACGGCTGATCAAACTCAAGACGAAGCCAAGTGATGACATCATCGGCTGGCATGTGCTTAAAGATTATGTCACACCGGCCTTGGCCCGAGTGATTTTTACTCATCTCAGGAGACCCTCTCCATCACCGTCACCATCCCCCCGATGTGGTGTGAATGCCTCCTCTGTGAAACAGGCCAAGGATCTGCCAGCGGCCCCTCTCTTTGTGAGCTGAATGGGCACGGCTCGGCCACGTTTTAAGGCACCCTAATGTACCATGGCTGGACCACAAAGGCAGCGTGGTAATTTGCCAGGGATAATGACGCTCCCTTAATTCGGCCCTAGGGGCCACAAACAGAAAGCTTTAAAGAGAATCCCTATCCAGGGATGAGTCCCCTGTCCCCCCCTTTTTTTCTAGGTCTCTTTCTCCCTCTCAGTCCACCCCTTCTCTCTCTCTTACTGACCTAAAAGAAGCTTGTTTTCTTCCGGCTTATTGTCATCCCGAACTAAATATCAGCAAACAGCAGCGGGGCTGGAGGAGACAACATGCCAACCACGACTGGAGTCCCTGATCTCCTCCCAGAGGAGCGAGCGAACCAAGACAAACACAGAGGAGCTTCTTCACAGCAGCCAGAGAGGGAGCACCACTGCTCTGCTCCAATGACACATATTAGGGAAAGGCATTTAGGCCACAAATTGAATCGAGCAGAGTAAGTAAGAAGGAGGCAAGTGCTGAGCAAGGGGAGTACAACAACAGAACATAAGCAAATGCCAGGGCTGGCCTTCAGGGATATTAAATACACAGAGAGAGAAGTAGGTGAGATTGGAGCAGAAGTGGTCTGGGATTTTCATGATAAATTGCCCTGTTCTCTCCTACAGGGTTTCTGCTTTTGGCACTAATGGTCTGTTTGATGAGTTAAATGTTCAGTCTCATCTTGAGCATTGTTCTAAGCCCAGAAAGAACAGGATCTGGTTTTATTCATAGCCATGATCAAGGGATAAACCCTGAAGAGATCTCTTTTGTATTTGTGATAATATTGGTCCTTGTATTGTTACCAATAAATCGAATAACTGATGTCAGATAGCACCTGCTGGTCTGCAGCAGATAAATTAAAGGGTTATTTAAAGGGATTACAACATTTGATGATCTTGTTTTTGGTGTTTGGGGGATTTGTATGTTTTCTAAACGGCTTCAGGCAATATGTTCACGTCTGTGTTTATTCACACCATCACTAATCATGCCTGAAGGAAGATACAGAATAAATTAGTTTCACATTAACCAATTACCCAAAAACATTATTTTTAATGAGCTGTTTGAGAGTTGAGTTTGGTTTAAATTCGTTTTTTGCCTTTGTTGAATTTACGAAGCATCTTACTGTAAGACTGCCAACGTGCATTGTTATTGTAACAGAACTTGTTATCACTAACTTCCTGCAAAACAACCATTACCAGTGATCTTAATGTCCTCTTTCAAAGTAATACATACGATCAGGTAACACACAGGTTTAAAGTAAAGATGCCATTTCATTTAAATCTTGAAGTTTAACCAAAAAAATTTAAAAAATATCTTATATCTAAAAATGCAAAACCCAAACTCTCTTCTTCGGCCTGGTTCCCTCCCTGACATTTTGCATTGTGTGTACAACATTTACAAAAGACTAAACTATATTTCATGGTATACATGGTGAGAGAAATCCGAAGCTCTGTTAATCCAGAAGCAAGATAACTTAAAATAATGTCTATGATACTTCTGAGTTGGGCACCATTGTTTAAACTATATCTAAAAAAAAGTATTTTTAGCTGTTTTATAAAAAGTCCTGTTGACCTCCATGTTTCCTTTAATAATCATTTAAAAAAAAAAAACAGATATTGAGGGGACAATTTTTAGCACAAAAACTCATTAACAAGATCAGTATTTTGAGGGGATACAACTTTTGCCACCAATGATTGTTTGCTCCCAGTTTCCATTTTCATTTTGTGTGAATGAAAGCATTTTTCTAGCTGTACTTGTCACAGGAGGACCATGTTTATTCAGCTGAAACACTCCTCTTGGAGCCTCCTGGATGAATGAGAACATTAAATCCAGACAATAAAAAACAAACCTTACACTACTTTGATTCTTTAAAAAAAAATAAAACAAATAAATGCCGGTAAAATTGGTGACAATTGCTGCATGCTGCTTTCTGAGGGGTTTGAGATGCTGACTGTGTCACCTCCCTCACAGCTCCCTCACTGTGTTCTCCCTAATAAAAGCTAAAGTGCCTGAAACAACAACGACAAAAAAATAAACAGCGAGCCTCAGGTGTGTAATATTGGAAGAACCGTCCTACGGTGGTTAGAATCAAATTAATAGCCAGCATGTAAACACGCTGACAGAGACTCCAGTCTGCTGTGGTGGTGAAGGTAATACCACAAGGTAATTGTGCACTTGTGTCACATCTCATCTGAACAATGATTTCAGCGTATAGTGTCAGCTCGGCTCAAGGCTGTCTGCACCCGAGTGATTCACTGCTTCACATTCACACAGAGCCAGAGAAAGAGGGAGGGAGGGAGGAGGGAGGGAGAGAGGGACGTGGAGAGGTAAAACTCATCCATTAATAGCCTGTATGAAGCCCCTCCACCCACCACCCCCTCCACCTCTCCTGCTTATCCTCCTCTCTTCCGTCTCCAATGCCATATTCTCGCCGCTGCTTTTCAAATCACTTCACTCAGTCAGAATAAAGGGCTTTCACCAAAAAAGGCTGCCTTACTTTTAACAACTGAGGCCGGAGTAAGAAAGACATTTAGAGAAGTGAAGAATGAGAGAAGAAGAATAACAATCAATCCGTCATCATAGAGATATCCACAAGCCCGGAGAGAAGTTTGCTGTTTGCCAGCAAGAGTGAGCACACAGAAAAAAAGAAAATTGAATTGAATTTTTTTTTTTATAAATAATAAAAAAAAATGTTAAAAAAGAGACAGAAATTCAGGTAAAAGATGCACAAACTAATAGAAAGGCATGAAAGTCACAAGAGAAGTTTTGAGTGAAAAAGATGAAAGTGTACTCACCAGCTAAGCATCACTGGGGTGTGGGGACGGGGCTGAGAGGGCCGTCTGTCCTTTTCAAACCAATTCTGGAAGAAGGGGGAGAGAGAGAGAGAGAGAGAGAAAGCGGAGGGGGAGGGGTGAGTTCTTCACTAGCTGCTCGCCTCCTTCTCATAAGCAGTGTGCAGAGCCACAAAGAAGTGCTGGCGCTCTCGTAAACAAACCGCCAAGTTTTCAATGGAGCGGAGGAGGCGGAGCGGGAATGGCATTTAAACGGGAGAGATTTCTTGGAGTTGGGGGGCTGCAGGGAAAAAAAAAGTACCTGCAAGATGCCTTTAAATCAAGTGAAGGCCTAACTGGACAATAACAAACCACAAAGTTCGGGACAGGTCAAACACATTAAACTCTACACTCCATATAACTTAGGAGGCCTTGTATTGCATAGAAAACGGAGCCCAAATATGTTCCACTATAAATTAACAGTGTAAATGTAAATGAGGTGAGCAGGATGCCTCATTGTGTGGAATCAAACACAGATGCTAATATGCAGAGAGCACTTTGGGTTGCATGCTTTTTGATCTCAACGCCACAGAGCAAATTGGAACAAATAGCCCTGGCTGGTTTCTACGGCAACCTGAAAGGGTAGCTTAGACTTGCCATCCCTCTTGTGGCGTCAACTGCCGTGATATGGCTGCTGTTTCCTTCACTTGCACACAGAACAGCAACTATGAAAAACAGAGCGATTGATTATTGTCATCTGATCGCTCCAGTAAGACTGATCACTTTTTCTTAGATGTACAGTATAATCAATTGTGCATTCACATAGGATCCTGCTACTCATTAGCATGAATGCAGAGCTTGATAAACATGTACCCAGGAGATAACTCTCACTGTATTTAGGGCTGCAACTAATAATTTCATAATTGATTAATGCTGATTAGTTTGTCAATAAACTTATTTACCAATTACTCTATAAAAGTATTAGAAAAAACTAAAACATTTTCATCAGAAGTTTTCACAACCTCTTCAAATGCCTTGTTTTGTCTGACCAAGCGTCAAAAAATGAAATCAAATCAATCAACGATGAAAGAAAACAGAGAAAAGCTGGAGCCAGAGAATACTTGGTCTTTTTGTTTCATAAATGTCAATTAGTTGCTTATTGACAAGTTCTTAAAAATCCAGTTAAAATGCTTTTCTACCAGATTCCCCAGCTCAGTGCTGAGATCCACAAAGACAGGTAGACAAATGCAGTAAAGGGGATTTTCTATGGAGCTAAGCTGAGAATTTAGGGCTGAGCAGCAGGAAGTGTCCACTCAAACAAAAAAACTCCCCATAATCTCCAGTGTCAGTGTGGGATCAGGCTTTATTCACTCCAACAAGTGAGGAGGAAGAATTCTCATAAACTACTTAGTCTGTGACCTATAGTCTTACTCTCTTTCAGACACACACACACATATACATACATGCACACACGCACACACACACACCCCAGTCTCCTGCAGTGATGCCTCTACACAACACAGCCGGCCAAAGAAAGTCTGGGAGTGAACCTGCTCAGATTCAATAAAACTTTGTTGTCCAGATAACTGACAGGAATTTGACATCCAGCGTGGTGCAGAACACACTGTAGAGTTGTGGTTTGATAAACACAACACAGATAACAAGTTGATAACAACGTCAGATAACATCAGAACCAGCGCCTGGTTCCAGGTTTCTGAATAACTGCCCACAGCTCAGACTGTTTGTGCTGAATCAAATCAGTCTGGTGTTGTGTTCACTGACGCCTGTTTCTACAGCTGGAAAAAACAACAACAACTGAGCCAGTCAGAGCTGTGTCAGTGCCATAAAAACAGATGCAGAAAAATGGTGACAAGGGTGGATGACAACTGTAAAAGTAAAAATCAGAAGGTTTCTTCTTCTCTTTTGACTAAAAATGATTCTGACAGAACAGCATGCAGGTTTCTGCTGAATAATTTACTGTAAAATGAAAACAACTCCTACACTGCAAACAACTGAGACAAACACTATGTCAGACTGAATTATAAAATGGGATAAAAACGGCAACTCAGGCGGATTACCAGGCCAATACAATCCTGCACATCCCACAACCCTAAGAGTCTGCAGCTAGAGCAGCACATCTGTCAGACTGTACTTGGGCACAGTGGTGTTTTGAGCTAAATGCTAACATCAGCATGCTAACATGCTTACTTGTTGATGTGAGGAGGACATGTCTACAGCTGACACAGGCTGATAGTTTTGCTGTTTTTTAGTCATAAACCAAAGTATTGGATGAATAAAAAATTGTGACCTGATGATGACGAGAGATGAAAAGTTATTGAAAATCTCCCTGTGGGGAAGATGACTTTGTGAACCAAATATCATGACAATCCATTCAGTAGTTGTTGAGATATTTTAGTCTAGAGCGAGCAACCAATCAACCAACCAATAGACTGACATTGCTATCACTTGAGACTAGAGAGCAACTACTGTTGCTGACAGACCTTTCTCACGGCAGACATTTTGGCAGGTCATAGCGGGAAAAGCACAGGCGTGTTCCAGGGTCTTCATATGGGCCACGCTGCCTCGCTGCCCAACCCTGCCTCCTGGAAATGACATGTATGTACAGCTAAACTGCAACAGCAAATATGTTTTGCAGGCTCCCAGCTGGGTTTAATTATATTTGATGAAAATAATGGTAAATGTTTCATATGCTGTGCAGCTATTTATGCAAATCCCCCTGGGTCGCCGAGGAGCCCTGCACTGAAAATCTAGCACGCCTTTCAGGATCTGTGGCAGGGGTGAAGGTAACAGAACCACATGTCCTCTGATTGGACTCCGCTTTGGGATTGGACTGTCATTGTCCAATCAGATTGAGTCCGATCAGAACTGGATCAAAATTTGTACTTGTAACTTCAGTGTCAAGCAGAGTGTGGGGAACTGAGTGCTGAATTTTACACACAGTTTTCTACTCTGTATCTGTATACAGATGTTCACAAAAGCACTTCTTCTTTCACAGTGTCTTTGTGTAACCTCACCACTCGCTCACCATTTATTCACACTCTATTTTTTTCTTGAATACAAATCTTTTCTACACAAGCAGAAACTTGAATTTGTCATGCAGATTTATTTCACAGGTTTAGAAAGGCTGATTTACAAACTACACTTTACAAGCTCAAAATCTTTTTGACCCTGATTTGAGCCTATAGTTTATCTGGCGTTTAACTCTTTCCCCTGTGTCTCCTGTTCTCAAATCTGTCTCTCTTTGTGTGTGTGTGTGTGTGTGAGCATGTGTGTGTGCTGTGGGCGTGGCGCTCCTCACTCTCTCCTGGTTTCCTGATTGCCAATCTGCCAGCACACCTGCCATCCATCTAATCATCACCCCCAGCAGTATATCTACCCCGCTTCTTTGTTCACTCCTCCCCAGATCATTATTTCACTGGCTGAAACGATGATGTTCAAGGCTGCTTAAAGTTGTGTACTCACAGTTTTTTTTCCTTTGTGGTTTTCCCCTCCAGGATCTCCGCCTGCCACACTTGCAACATCACCCAGCGCTCAAACGAGCCTCACCGGTCTCCAGCTTCCCTCAGCCCTCCACCTGGCCTGCCTGCTCCCCTGTCCATTCACAGGTCTGCCGTTCAGCCGTTCAGTCATCCAGCCTTCAATTCTCACTCAGCTCTCTCCTGCCAAATGCCAGCTCCTCTCTTCCCTCTGCATGCACCTGCCAGAACCCTCGCTCCCCATCCGCCTTCATTCCCTGCGATTTAACAATAATTCTCCTCTTGTTCAATTTGCGCTTTGAGTCTTTGTCCTGTGTTTGGGTTCACCTGTTCATACTACTGGAACATTTCACTGATATGTTCATTATCAACATATTTGCAACTCGCCAAGCACCTAAATTAACATGTCCTTATTATATTAATATAAAACATTCCTGTTGCGATTATAAAATGTTTCCAACTAAATGTATTTTCAGTTTGGTTGTAAGCTCACGTACCATATGTTTGTTAGACAGAACCATCTGGGGAGGCTTCACTGGAAAAGGGCAAGCACTTTTAAAAAATATTTGGCAGGTGATTGGATGAACCATCTGTCTGTCATATGCGGTGAGGAGAGCGAAGAAGAGGAAACGAGACACAACAAGGCCGCAGTCTGAGCAGATTTGTTGGTCGACGAGTCTTTTAGTAGTTTGGTCACAAGTGAAAAGCTTGGAGCCTACAGATGGATGGAGATCCAGCTGTTTAGCAAGGTTAGTTTAGTTGTATACAAAAGTAAGGCTTACCCAGAAACTTAATGGAACAACGATACCGTAAATGACATTTGTTTCACCAGCGCTTTTCCTCCTGTGACAAATCAAAATGTCTGCAGTGAACAAGGGCTATGAGGAAACACAATCGCAATCATTCCCAAATATGTCTTTGCTCTACAGAGAGATGAAAGCAGGTAAAGATAATGAGGGCAATCATCATAACTAGTCTGAATCTAGACTGGAAGACAAGAGACATCCCCTGACATCATGTCATGGTATCTTTCATAATAAAACAATAGTGGAGCTCAAACAATTTCGAAACGACCAACTGAACATTTGAGCCTAAGCATTTTATTATCTAAGAAAGTCATCAGGTGCTTCATTTTCCCTCCCTTTCCCTTAAGACACACACACACACACACACACACACACACACACACACACACTCCTCTTTTCTAATCTTGAATTAGTCCTTGAAAGTCATCTGCCTGTCTGCCAAACAGGCAAGCAGGCAGATGTCTGTGTGTGTGTGTGTGTGTGTGTATGTGTGTTTTCTCTTGGTGTTTGGTGAACTTGAGATGCTCTATAACCAGCAGTCCTGATATCAGTATGAGGCAGACAAAGCAGTCGAGAGGTCTTGTGCTCTGATCTGAAACTTTTCTTTTTGCTCTGTTGAAACTTTCTGCAGCTCGCCGCAGTGCACTTTTCTCATTTCTGTCCATATGAGATGGTTATCAACAGTCGCCATCGCATCCAGCAGCGAAAATCAAATTCTCCTAATTAAGCTCCAGTTACTGGTAACTGAATCAGACAGTTTAATGCAGACTTAGCGGGAAGTAGGTGAA